ACATACACAAACTTTAGTGACATGACAGCCTGTCTCACTGACTGGTCCATTGAGTCATCAGTGACCTTCCCTGAGATCAGAGCCGCCTGGCCAATTGGCCTAATCAGTGATCTTTAAAAACAGCTCTGTGGACAGGAAGGGGAGGGAGGGGGGTTGAATCCCACTAAACACACACATTAACATAGATGCACTCCAACACACTCCTTCCACCTCACTCTAATCAGGGAGGAGGCAGGCAGGACTCTGGGTCACCCCAGCGACACTAACAAGAGGCGACAGCTCCTCGGCGCTCGAGGCAATGACCAGCTCGGCTGTCGAGACCACGGAGCTAGTCCGCCAGGCACGCACTGAGGCAAGGTTTGCTGTTTTGGAAGAGGAGGAGGAGGGAGAAAGGAGGTGTGTGTGTGTGTGTGTGTGTGTGTGTGTGTGTGTGTGTGTGTGTGTGTGTGTGTGTGTATGTGTGTGTGTGTGTGAGTGATAGAGCTGGTGTTATGGATTCATGGAGTGTTAATCAAAAAGCCAGAGAAATGATCCACACACACTTCCTCTAATGATCTTTACTGTCTAAGTGCACATTTTACATTTTCTACCATCATTCTGAACAGAAACACCAGAGATGTACACTCACAGAAACACGCACAAGCACAAAGTCTGACACACACCCTCAGAAAACCCCTGAGCCCCGAGGCCCCCACACAGAGTGCTGTTGACCCCCCTTCCTCGTCTCCCCCTCTCCTCTGGAACACAGTTTAACTTCTGTCATTTAGATGAAGCGAGTGAGTCAGTCTAGCTGCCACGAGAGGATGTGACAGGCCGGTAATGGACAGGACAAAGAGGGGATTTATGAAGTATTAGTAAACCTTAATAATTCACCAAAGCAACGACCCCAGGAGTCCCCCCATCCCCAGCCCACCCTCCACCCCCGACCAATCCACTGTCTCTGGCTCTCATCCCAGCCTGGATGAACTCTGGATCTCTGTGCCAGAACATGGTGAGAGATGAAGAAACTCATGGATCAATGCCATTTTCTACAGCACATTTGAGATGACATGGGTAGGATTTAGTAGACCTCACTGCGATGTGCATCAATGTTTTCTTCTCAATACCTGACCTTACTGCCGTTCAATTTTCCTTCATGTTTGTGACGCACCCAAAACCT